AGAACAAAGAAAATATAATTAAAGATTGAGGGTATTTTAGAACTTTTCTATTTTTCATCAACTAAGTCAATTAATTTAGTCCCACAAAAACTTGAAGGGGCAAATTGTTAAAATTGAAACTAGAAGGAGTTGATTGCAACATTAGTCAAACTTGAAGGGGGTATTTTGTAATTAATCCTAAAATTTAATCATATATTTTTATGGTGCTAACTTTAACAAAAAGACTTAAAAAGTTTACACTAATAAAATTTTTGGACTTGAGTGAAAATTGGAAGGCTAGCCATGGGATCTTATGGAAATCTCTTTTGCGGAAGAATTTATGGACATCTAAAAGTATATCTGAATTTGATATCTTATGGAAAACCAATAACGAATTACACATATACTTCATGTATCAATCAAGGGTAACTCCAACTATACAATTGTCAAAATAGTAATAATAATGTTGATCATAACAACAATAGTAATAAATAATAATAATATTAATAACCATAGCAATACCAATAACAACAAACAACAAAATATAATAATAATTATTATAATAAAGTCGAAGAAGAAACATTAGTTGGAGCTGGAGACTTCATTTTCCCTGTGAAGTGTGGACAACCATATATCTTGTTTTCCCATATTGAAGAAGCCCAATTAGCAGAGTTGAGACAGTGCATGTAAAGCACTTCTATACATAGGTCTATACAGTTGACACGTGAGAGTCAAGACATCACATCTTGTGAAATGATTTCTATGACACTTTGCTAGACAACATAGACTACACTCAAAAACCAATAAGTCTTTTGATTCACACTGATGTTATATGATGTCTTGCTATATGAAGTGTTGAGTGGCGAACGCAATTTGCTTGTCAATGAGACACAGAGGACTTTTCTGATTCCTTTCTATTTGAGCCAACATTTCTTACAATAATGAACCCTCTCATTCCTATCATGCACAATCCAATAAATTGGTGGAGGCGTTGGCCTNTCAGTGGCGAACGCAATTTGCTTGTCAATGAGACACAGAGGACTTTTTTGATTCCTTTCTATTTGAGCCAACATTTCTTACAATATTGAACCCTCTCATTCCTATCATGCACAATCCAATAAATTGGTGGAGGCGTTGGCCTTAAAGAGGATCAAAGTCGTCACGGGACTATGATTTGGGGCATCAATGATACACTCATTTTGGATCATTGTTTTCCCAGTGACAGCCTCAGTATTCTCATTGTTAGTTCCTATTTAAGCTTTGAGTGAATTTGCATCCCTGCTTTCACCTCTGATCCTACTTCTGCTTTGTATCATTCTCTATGCTTCTAAAGGNCGATGATACACTCATTTTGGATCATTTTTTTCCCAGTGACAGCCTCAGTATTCTCATTGTTAGTTCCTATTTAAGCTTTGAGTGAATTTGCATCTCTGCTTTCACCTCTGATCCTACTTCTGCTTTGTATCATTCTCTATGCTTCTAAAGGCCTGCTCATTGTTGCTTGTTTGCTCGCATGAGATTATTTTATGTCATGTCCGTGTTAAGCTTCAATATAGCTTGTAAGCTTGAAACAANGGCCTGCTCATTGTTGCTTGTTTGCTCGCATGAGATTATTTTATGTCATGTCCGTGTTAAGCTTCAATATAGCTTGTAAGCTTGAAACAAATATGTGCTCACTAACCTCTGGTGTAGTTGCTTTAGTAAAACCTCGGCAATTAGGAGAATAAAAGTCACATAGCATTGGAATTGTCCTCCTTTGTGATCTTACTGTTATGGCAGTGAAATTAGCATTCATAGCTTGCATTTAACCTCTCAAAACAGTTAGTTTAGCAAATGTAAATTCATTGTCGAGATTACAATGAATTTGTGGTTAAACAGATTTTGATGTGAGATTAACATTGGCTTATATGCATAATACCAAATTCTCTGAATGAGTTGTTGGCACTTGCTTTAATAGGCTTGAAATTGGGGTTATTGAATGATCTGAGCAGTTCGAGTTTGGTTCGGCTCGGGCCCCACTCGATTTTGTCTTATTCAGGTTCGTTCAAATTTCAAAATAGAGCAAATATGATCAGAATTTTTTAGCTCATTTTTCAAACAAGCTGAATTTTGAGCAATGCATAGCTAGACTCATATGAACTTGGCTTGGCTTGAATAGGTTCATATTGTAAATAATTCTTAATTTATTCCCAAACAAAGCCCCTATTTAAAAGATGATCAAATTCAGACCTATCCTCAAATAAATCCAGGTTTTGTACACTTGCCTCACTCTTCTCTAATAAATTTTCTTGAAATTTGAAATTGTAGAGTTTGATTTTATAGTTAATTATATAGAATCTTAGATTATCTTTTTTCAGAAATGGATTATTTTAAGATTAATTGCTAGGTTTTAGGGTTAAATTTTTGGAAAATTTTGGGGAGTTCGGTTTCAACTCAAATGCTTCCAAGCTTTTGCCTAGCCTTGGGCAAGGATTTAAGCTCGAGAGTTGAGCTTGGCAAGCTCTCGAGCTCGACCAGTCACAACTGAGTGGAGTGTGATAATACTGAAGCTTGGCATTATTAGCTTGATTAGCACCCCTACTTAAGAGCACTTCAAGCCATACACTCACTCAAGCAATATTTCAGACTGCACTGTCTCCGCTTCTACTTGGAACTAAAGGGCTTCTTGTTCAATATTTAACTTCCTAGTTCACTGATTCTCGTGTAATACCTTCACCTTGTGAACATAACCATCTGTTTTAGATTCCATGGATAGGGCAATAATTTGGTTTTTTCTGAGATTGCTTCCTCTTTTTATTGGTTCTTTCCTGTTTTCCAGGCTGTAATGGATTACCACCGAGTAATAGCTAACTATTTTAACTGGAAGGGGGTACACGTGATATTTGTTCTTCGGAGAAATCTTTTGCGGAGACTTGTATCTGTCCTTGCAAATGCTTATGACAGTGAAGCAAAGCTAATCAACGGCACCCACAAGTCTCATGTGCATACAAAAGAAGAGGTCTCTCTCTCTCTCTCCCCCCCTTCTTTTCTCCATTTTATTATGTGCTTATGTGCGCGCAAATGTGTGGGCAAATTCATTGGCCATCAAATCGCTTTTTCCCTTCATGCAAATTCTGATTAGATTTTACCTTATTACCATATTAGTATGATTACAATTTTTTTGCCTTATTACCATATCTGTAGTTTTTGATACAGCGTTTAATTGGTAGTTTTTTATCGTTGTCCACGCATGGGTGCAAATTTCAATCTTCTCCAAAACTGAGAGTTTGTAGAGATTCCTGTAAGTACACCAAAACAGTAATATTGCCACCAAGAAGCATATGGAAAGCGATCAATGAAAAGAATAATAGTGGTAGTGATGATAAAGTGGATAACGGTTGTCATGGCGACATTAATAATGGTGATTTGGTTAAACGGTGGTTGCGGCAAAGGTGGTATGACAGGTTACAATTGGTTTTTGTTTTGGTAGCTCTGGAGGTAGCAATTTTGTGCTGGTCAGGCCGACTGGGTTAGGGTATGGCCCCTGCCTTACCCATTTTTTCTTTGGGTCCTGCCCGAGAATAGGGTGGGGGCAGATATAATGGTGTTGGGTGATGGTGCCATGGGGATATCCTTATTGTTTCCTAGCAATTATTCTGGAAGTAAAAGTTTTTGGGCTTCAGGAGAAATTAAATGTCGAGACATCATTGAGATATAAACAAAATCTAGATATGAGAGCTCATAACAAATTCTACAATTCCTAAAGGCAATGTATGAAATTCTTGAAAGCATTCGAAACATTTAAATGGATTTGCAATCTAAAACGTCTAGGGATATTTTGCATAAAAACACCAAATCCCCTTCTAAAAATTCTTCAATACAAAAAATAAATGAAAACTACCAGTATATTTGCCTACCAAGGAACCCTTAATAAAAAAAGGAACCCTTCAAAGGAAAAGAAGTTTATATGTAAAAAGAATCCACCAGTTAGGTATGGTGCAGTGAGGAGCATGTGCTTTGTGTATTTTCTTGGTATTTTTCTAAGTATTATAGGCATCATCTCATCCCCATGATTTTGGCAGGCTGATCTGCTGGCACAATTCAAGCCCACTATCAATGTTAATCTTCTGACACAAAATCTGGCCAAAGCTGAACACACGATGGCCAATTCCTTAGAATACTTCAAGACCACTCGCCACCTAGTACTATATTATGAAGATCTGATGAAAAATCCCAAGGTAAAACACACTTTTCAATCCCACCTTCTTTAACTCATGAAGAATGCAGAAATATTTATATCTTTTATTGTTCTCAGTTACTATCATATGCCCAAGAATTTCTAGGAGTTCCAGTCAGAAAACTTGAGAGCCAGCAAGTTAAGATTCACACAAAACCTCTTTCTGAACAGATTAATAATTGGGACGATGTTCACAGGACACTCAAAGGATCACCATATGAGCATTTTCTCGACGAACCAGATTACTTTCGCTAGTATTTCCTATTTTTTCATATGGTTCGATGATTCTTGGCCGTTGTTTGCAGCACTAGAATTTGCATTTATTGTAACTCATTAATTTTTATGTTGAATCTAATTTTCTTAATGTGGATAGTGTCTGTGGCTTAGCTTTGTTATATTTTTTGAGAGTCATGAAGACAAAGAGATCTTTGAGTCGGGGTTTCTAGCACAGCTGTCCGACCTCACCATATCTTGGGATGATCTTCAAGCTAACCCGAGCATTAGTGTGCACTCAGTTGTTGGTCATTTGTTGAGGTTTTTCCAGGTATAATTACATCAAAGTTGCAGGGAGAACATAGCTTGGGATGAGACTCCAATCTGTGTCTATGGTGCGGGTTTGGATTCCTGACAATGGGAATTCTGCCCCTCCATCATATATGGATATTGTGGCATCTATATATGAAACAAGCAAAGATGGAATCTTTTCTCAGTTTTCTGCTAGTGTTCTGTGATGACACAGTTTGAATCATGGATGGATGTGGGTGCCATTGCAGTCCTTGTCCTAATTTGTTTATATGCTGTCTAAAGGAAGCAAGGTCAAAATTTAGGTACCGTTTAATAACGCGTTTTATTTATGTATTTTTTTTCTTTTTTGGGTTTTTTAAAGTGGCACTGTTTTTTTTTTTTGGCTTGAAAAATCTACCTAAAAAATTGTTACCTAGCTATTCTATTTTTTATTAAATTGTAACTAGATATACTGTTTTCTTTACTTAAAAAAGCATTAATAAATGGTAATTAGTTAACAGTCGAACTCAAATTTTTGAATGTTAACTTGTGAGTTGAAAGCTTAGATACACTTGTAGCAACCAAAACAAAAAAAATAAAGAAACAAAAATCAATATTCTTGAGACTCTAGTGACAACATTTTTTTAGATTATTATTTTTTTTCAACATGTTGATGGCTAGGGTTGATAATTGAGATGAGTTATTTAGGTTTTGTTCTAGCTTTGCCTAATTTATATGTAAAATAGTCGAGTTATTCGGGTTTTATACGAGTATGACTCGTTTTGGGTTCGTGTTTGGCTCATTTTTTAAGTGAGTCGAATTTAAATAATTTTGTAGACTTGTTTATAAAAACGACCTCGATAGGATTCACTTCAAGTTTGTAAAGTTCTATTTGATTATCAATCTCATTGATGACCACTCCTAATTCTTTTAGAATTTTGCTAACAAAGAAGTCAAAGGGTCAAATCTTACTTTTTACCTTCGATTTCTTATATTCCTCTCTTTAACGTTTTTATTTACCATTTTTTCAATTTTTTTTCTACCTATTTGAGGGTGTTCTTCACTTCTGCTAAAGATGAAGAATTTGAAAATTTTAACAGTTAGTTCTTCATTGCAAGGGTGATATATTGATTTATATGAAAAATTACCAAGGAAGGTTTGGATTGTTAGTTGTTAACTTAGAACTCAAGATACTTTGCATAAATTGGAAGGAGCCTAATCCTTAAGGAAGCTATGGAGGCCAGTTCAATATTACCAGAATTGTGGGTAGTTTTGATATGTGGTACGGTACATGATACGATATTTTTTTAGGTATGCGATACGATGAAAGTAGGTTTAGCTGGTACAATATTTTGGGTCACAATTCGTTTTGAAATTCTTATGTAGATCATTTTCACTAATTTACAATATTATATATTACAGAACATTCATAAACATTACTTCTTAAGATTTGCATAGAATTTTTTCACACGTAATGTCTGAAAAGCTGTCGAAGATGATTCAAATGCTCTTTTTTAGACCGATTGTAGATCAAGATATCATCAAAATAGACCATCACAAATTTTCCTAGGAAAGGATGCAATAACTGAGTCACAACCCTCATAAAGTGCTAGGTGCATTAGACAATCCAAAAGGCATGACCAACTACTTATAAAGTCCATCCTAGGTTTTAAAGGCAGTTTTCCATTCATCTCTTGGTCTAATTCGGATTTGATGATAAACACTACGCAAATCTATTTTTGAGAACCAAAGTACACCGGCCAAAAGGTCAAACATATCTTCAAGTCTCAGTATAGGAAATCGATACTTGACTGTAATTTTGTTAATAACACGACTATCAACACACATTCTCCATGATCCATCTTTCTTGGGGGTTAATTAAGCAAGGAGAGCACATGGACTAAGACTATGACAAACATACCCTTATTGCAAAATTTCATCTACTTGCCTTTGGAGTTCAGCACACTCAATGAGATGTATACGATAATAAGGAAGATTAGCAACTGAGATCCTGAAACTAAGTCAATAGCATGCTGAACATCTCTCATTGGTGGCAACTCATTGGGTAGTTCCTCAAGGATCACATTGTGGAACTCTCTCAATAGACTATCAACCTTAGGCAAAAGATCGTCCTTAGATTCCAAAGGACTCTGAAAAATTTCTTTGACAACTAGAGCTACCACTACGCCAGATCTTTTTTTCTCTTTTTCAAATTCTCTGTGGGTCAAGATGTGAAAGTCTTTATTGTGAATTTTCTGGAAAGATGACCTATGCTTTGAATTATTACCTTCTGAGCGTTTTGCAGGTTTTAACTTGATGCTTTTCTCTTTGTGCTTAAAAACATAGGTATTGTCCCTCCCATAGTTTGTCACATCTAGATTAAAAAGCCACGACCAACCTAACAATACATGAGCGACATCCATGGGTAAGAAATCACACCATATATGATCTGAATAGGGACCAAACATCTTTGCGAGACTGGCAAGGAGGTCTTGTCAACCCATGCAACCTTGTAAGTTTGTGGGTGTGACTCTGGCTTAAGCTGTAACTGAGCTACAACCGACTTAGAGATAACATTCAATGAACTTTCCCCATCAATGACAACCTTGCAAACTTGACCCCCACATTGGACTAAAGTATGGAAAATGCTGGTGCATTTCCATGCTTTTGTGCCTGAAGGGGTGGATAAGATGCATCTCATCACACTGACACAGGTGTCATCGTTCTGCCATTCTTCCTCACCTTCATCTAGTAACTCTAGGGGTTTCTCATCTAAAGGATCAATTTTTTGGTCAACATCCTCACCATCAAATGAATTCCTTAACCCTTGGTCAATGGTCAAGGTANCAAGGAGGTCTTGTCAACCCATGCAACCTTGTAAGTTTGTGGGTGTGACTCTGGCTTAAGCTGTAACTGAGCTACAACCGACTTAGAGATAACATTCAATGAACTTTCCCCATCAATGACAACCTTGCAAACTTGACCCCCACATTGGACTAAAGTATGGAAAATGCTGGTGCATTTCCATGCTTTTGTGCCTGAAGGGGTGGATAAGATGCATCTCATCACACTGACACAGGTGTCATCGTTCTGCCATTCTTCCTCACCTTCATCTAGTAACTCTAGGGGTTTCTCATCTAAAGGATCAATTGTTTGGTCAACATCCTCGCCATCAAATGAATTCCTTAACCCTTGGTCAATGGTCAAGGTATGCTAAAGGCATTGTGAATCAATATGACCCTTGTCATGTCAGTGGTGACACTCTATAGAAGAACTATCCTGATAAGAACCCATGAGTGTAGAGTCTCAACCCCTAGTGGCATTACCTCTCGAGTTGGGGTAAGTGTTACCCTTGGATGTGACAGGCCCTGATTGGGGGACGCCTCGAGACTTATCAAATGGGAGTGACCTCAATGGTTGAGATTCTCCAATTTGAGAAGACATACAATGCTGAAAAGGTGGCCTAAGGTATTTTTCAATCTCTAAGGCTTTATAATATGCTTCCTCAACCGTTTTAGGAGAGTATAAGTTAATCTCTCTCTTAATCTCAAGTCTCAAACCATTAATGAATTTTATAGCTATTACCCAAGGCTCTTCCTTTATGTCACATCTCATAAAGAGCTCTTCAAATCTAGTTAGGTAATCAGTCACACTCAAGGTCAATTGATGCAAATTCATCCACTTGTCCAAGAGTTGATGATTATAGTAACTAGGGAAATATTTATCTCACAATCTTTGTTTCATCTCAGCCCATAAAGTAATTGATTGTCCCTCTAAGTGTTCTTGGTCTCGTTGGACTCCCTGCCAATATCTTTTACCCGAACCAACGAGTTTCATTTTAGAAAAACGAACCCAATGGTGGTCAAACATATCATACCAATCAAAATAGTCATCCATTTCATCCAACCAATCTAAGAAAACAACAGGATCTAACCTACCATCAAAACTAGGAGCATCCACTTTGACTCTTTGTGTGATATCCCTAGATTTTTCATGTAAATGCCTATGTCGAGGATTATGGTAACGCGAAGGGGGATGCCTATGATATCTGACACGTGGTCGGAAGGGCTTACGATAACCATCTATATCACCCTCTACTAAATAGTTAGACATGATTACCTCAACGGAATCCTCTTGAAAATTCCTATGACCTACATTTCATCCAAAAAAAGTATTAGGAGGTGGCCTCCTATCTGGACACTGAACTCGACTCTCCTGAGCTACCTGCAGAGTGGTTAGGACACCTTGACATGAGTCAGAAGGATCTATCGGGAGAGGCAGGTGCCTAACATGGCATGTCTTTCTGAACTTAGTTAATACTGGTGGCTCACCCTGGTCATACTCTATTAGTCATTTTTCAATAAACTTAATCAATTGGGCTAGTTGAGTAGTAATTTGAGAAAGTTGTTGCCCCATTCCTTTAACTTACTCATGTAACAAGTTGACTGATTGTTTAGTATCAATCATATCAATGGTAAAGATTTCAAATTTTTGTTCTAGTGCAGTATGGGACTCTGAAAGCTCTCGAAGGGTCATAGTGAATGTGATGTAAAATTTGGGCTAATATAAAATGTCAACTAGACTAAAAATTAAACCAAGTAAAAAAAACTATAAGTCAATACAAATGGTCACACACAAGAATAAGTTTATTGTGAAGAGACTCAAATAAACGTGAGACAAACAACAATGAGTTTAACAAGGAATTAGGAAAGCTAAATTACGAAGGTGGTGTGTGGAAAAAACAAACAAAGAAAGTTTAGGTAAGATTTGTTTTTTTTTTTTTGACTTATCAACAAATATAAATATTAGTCAACAATTTTCAACGAAGAGAACTTATACCTGGTGTTAGATATAACTCCAAGAGGCTACTTGACAATTTAGAGGATGATCCTCCAAATTCTAAAATTTTTTGGGGTATTTTTATAATTTTTGAAACTTTTGGGATGATATTTTTGTAATTTTTGGAACTTCTAGGGTGATGTTTCTATAATTTTTTGAATCTACTAGGGAGGTTTTTATAATTTTGGAACTTCTGAATGGTATTTTTGCAATTTTTTTGAAATTATAAGGGTAATTCTATAATTGTTTAGACTTTTGGGAATGTTCCTGCAATTTTAAAATTTTCTGGGGTGAAAGGGTTAAACCCATTGTCTTCTTCATTAAAGATGGACTTCCGACAAACAAGAGGCTGCTACTTCCTTCTTCACGAATAGTTGCAGCACACAGCAAAGACTTTGTTCAATCTTCAACGAAGCACAACGACTACAATGACGATCAAAAAACAGCAGCAACAACTCTGAAGGTCATCGGCGATTACTAATAAACGATAAACCCAACGTGGGTCTCCGATTTACTCTATTGGTTCGCAAAAATACTAATCGAAACAATGACGATTATTTCTGGTTGTGATTAGGAAAAAAATTGGACCAAGAACAATGCAAAAAAGTCACGATGACCGGTGAACAGTCACGATGAACAGTGTGAATGATGAACAATTTTTTATTTATTTTTGGTGATTTATTCGAATCGAAATCGGTCTCTGATACCAAATTGATGTTGACTAGGAAGTGAACAATTAAGGATAAGAAAAGAAGAAGAAAGAGGTGAGAAACGAGAAAGAATTTGAGGAATCAATATTAGAATTCAATAATAATTAAAGTCTGCCAAAACAAATACCGTATCACTTATATATATATAAAGAGAACACAAACCCTAAAATAAATAAATAGTCAAAATGACAACTAAACTCTTGAAAAAAAAATGACAAATAACTCTTAATCGTTACGTCTGTGCATAATATAACGAAATATAATCTGATCCCTATCGTGACATTATTTGTTTTTGTGGTTGGAATTATGTACGAACTCAATCTGATGAAGTATTGACCAAGGAATCAGTACTCCTACCGAATTGGCTTTTTTTTTTTTAGGTTGGGTGCTAGCTATTTGGCCAATGTTGGCTATGAAAATTTTTCATAGGAAATTTAAATATTTTATCTATTTGCACAAAAATAATTACACTACCCACAATTTGAATAACAAAGTTTTGTGTCTATAAACTGAACAATGGTATAAGGCCATAATTCTCCTGCATCTCAAATACGTGGGTGTGTGTTTCACTGGTAGGCAAAGGTATGTCTTCTGAGTCTCTTTTGGGTTTAACCCACCTGCAATGTTCATTGCATTCTAGTCCCTTGTTGGTCTGTTGGTACAAAAAATGAGGAATCCTCAGTTCATCCACAAGCATGTCATAGGTCTTGTTCACCAAAGCAATGTCCCTTCTAGCATCAGACCTAAATGTTGAGGTTTTACTGTGGAACCCATCTACTAGATGAAGGTAAGTCTCCAACATATGGAACCCTGAGACGTTAAATCCACGTTTAAGATAAGGAGAAGACCATACATCAAGCTTCAATTCAGCTCCAACATGTGTGTAAACCCAGTCTAGTGTTCCGATTATGTCATCAAACTTCTGTAGGCTTTCATTGAAAACGAGCCCTGGCATGCGAGGGACTAAATCTTGNATAATTACATTGAAGTCACATCTTTACGTTTTCAAACTAAATTCCTATAATATAGGTCAAGTTCAATTATCATGGAGTATGTAAGATAGAATTTGTCGTTGCAAAACACCTAGTGTGTAATACTCCCTTCCATAATATATCTAAAAAATATTAGTCGTTTTAAGTATCAAATACAAGTATATCTTATGAATCACTTTACTCATTTATTCTATGCTCAGTTACATTCATAGTTTGTATAAATATATTTAAAAAAATCCGCCCTAGTGGACCATGGTTCAGTCATTATTGAAATTTGAGTAAAATTAAATGTACGTAGTCTTTTCCTTACACACAGAAAAATTATTTCTACGACCTAGAATATTGACATTCATTTGAAAATAAAATAATTTTACCGTCACAACTAAATCAACTTTTAGTCAATTATTCAATGTATCAATTAACTTTTTTTTCATTCGACCATCCAATGGATTTTACCAAGGAAACAACTTTTCACCAAGAAATCAAAAAAAAAAAAAAACAAAAACCTATTTTATAATCTCCCCAATTTAGCAGTGGCATTTGCGTAGATTTGTTTGAGGAGAAGAATAATTTCGTATTTCTATCATCGTCAACTCTTCGTCAAGACTTCTTGTAGCCATCAACTTTTCTTTTCTTTATTTTTAGGCTTCGGACCAATAGGCAAACTAGGTTTGGATTTTCAACACGCAATCACTAATATTTTCTTGTTCTCATGTGTGAAATGGACCACATTGGGAATCCTAAAATATATTGTTATACTTATAATAGTAAGTCTTTCAAAGCATGTTTGGCAAATGAAATAGACATCCTTAAGAAAACATGAGTAATGTTACTTGGATTTCAATAGTTGTGATCGTTGACGTGTTAATTTTTGGAATCTAAATAACATTACTTTTAAAAACGCAAACACGACAACCGGTGAAGACTAATATACACAGCACTATGATAANAGTTGTGATCGTTGACGTGTTAATTTTTGGAATCTAAATAACATTACTTTTAAAAACGCAAACACGACAACCGGTGAAGACTAATATACACAGCACTATGATAACTACAATATATATATATGGATATGATATCTACAAATAATTTTGAGACTTATATTTCCTTTNATTTGTTTGAGGAGAAGAATAATTTCGTATTTCTATCATCGTCAACTCTTCGTCAAGACTTCTTGTAGCCATCAACTTTTCTTTTCTTTATTTTTAGGCTTCGGACCAATAGGCAAACTAGGTTTGGATTTTCAACACGCAATCACTAATATTTTCTTGTTCTCATGTGTGAAATGGACCACATTGGGAATCCTAAAATATATTGTTATACTTATAATAGTAAGTCTTTCAAAGCATGTTTGGCAAATGAAATAGACATCCTTAAGAAAACATGAGTAATGTTACTTGGATTTCAATAGTTGTGATCGTTGACGTGTTAATTTTTGGAATCTAAATAACATTACTTTTAAAAACGCAAACATGACAACCGGTGAAGACTAATATACACAGCACTATGATAATTACAATATATATATATATATATATATATGGATATGATATCTACAAATAATTTTGAGACTTATATTTCCTTTTGTTATATCTGTGACCGTTTATGGAAATTGAGAGGTTGATATCATATATGCTTAATACTTATTGAATTTTTGATATGAATCATGCAATTAAGAATAAAATATTAATAACAAAAAAAAATTCATACAATTGACAACCATGAACAGATAAAAAATTTGGTCAAAGATAGTGTTTGATACATTATCTTTAGGACAAATTTTGTCTCCACTCCGATTTTTATGGATTCTTGAGCATATGTTTCTCATGATATAATGATCACATAATAAGAAGAAGTAATACAATTTGTTTGCACACCGAACCAGAAATTATATTTCGTACTCTAAAAAATAGACATTTTAATGATGAAGAGTTTGAAAATAATGACTCTATGTATTACAGAATGTGCAAGTTATTAATGTTGAATGAATATGGACATATTTATAGATGCAGAGGTGATTGTTCACTATAAGCACCACTGATCAGATGCAATCCAGGAAAGTTCACCAGAGATGCCTATTGATGAACAGCCACGAAATAATTCAAATTCGAACCAGTGTGAATTTGAATTCCAACGGATATTAAAAATTAAATTTGGGTAATAAATTAAGGACCTATTTAGCAAAATAATTTTATTCACAAATTTCAGATTTGATCCAACCTAATCCACACCCACACCAACACTAGGGGAGGCCGGAGCAGGCAACAGCGCGCATGTTATCGAACCCAAGTTTATCTAGGTTCTCTCTCATCCACAAAAATGTGGTGCCCTTTGGGGTTCAATCCTTAAAACAAACTTGAGATATACTTTGTTATTCTCTTCACGAAATAGAATACAAACAAAATTTTTTTTACTCAAAATGATAAGCGAGCCTCGCTTTAATTTAAGTTCAATAAACCAAAAATCAAATTTTTTTTACCTACAAACTATTTTGTTCCAACAAAATTAATAAAATAAAGTGACGTAATAAAATAAGCAATTTTTATACATATCAAGTTTTAGCGGAATCAAAATTTTATCTTGAGGTGATCAACAATAACAGACAAAAATTTAATTCAATTGTCATTGTCAATGATAAATTTTTATTTATAAAAAAATTATTAAATTTAATTTTTATGCAATGACATTGAAAAAGTTATTTTTGAACACAAAACTCAAAAGTGGTTTCATGCCATCATAAAAATTTATTTGGAATAATCTCCTCTCTTTTTTCTTGTTTATAATATAACCTTATGTCTATAAATAAATCAAAGTTGCAAATAATCTATATAATAAAGTACAATACAATTCAAATATCAAAATATAAACAAAATGACTTTTATTTTTCACGGTTGAGATCTCTTTAATTTTTACTTTAAAGTTAATCTGACGGTTAATACTAATACCTCAAATTTAATAGGGAAAATAGGCTCCTAAGTATATGTTTGTGATAATTTTTAAAAATGTTTCTAAAACTTCTAACTTTTCATAATTATTTTTATTTTTTGAAAATAGTGTTTGGAATCGTCTCATCACCTCCACCACTACTACCACCAAACGCCCACCATCATCACCACTACCGCCACCACTGTTGCCATCCCACCACCACTACCACCACCCCCATCGCCCCACCACCACCATTACAGCCACGCTACCACCACCCCCATCCCAAGCACCACCACTACCGCTGTTGCCACCCCACCACTACCTCTTCCATAATAATCACCACCATTGCCCCACCACCACCATCGTCGTAGCCATCACCATTGCAGCCACCCCACTAACACCCCCTCCTTGCAACCACCATCCCCACTACCATCCCCACCACTATCGCCACCTTATCACCACCGCCACTGTCCCACCATCAACTCTATCACCACCACTATCACCGTTGTTACTCACAGCTACAACCATCACCAACAAATATTGTCACCCATCACAACCATCACTGTCTCCCCCCACTAACACTGTCCCACTCGCTTCACTATAACCGGTGCTTAAATTCTTTTATCTCTTCTTTGTCTTTATGATTTGATTTTGGGTGTAAATTGCATTGTGTGTTTTATCTTAAATATCAATTACTTTAGTCTGATCTGTCTCTATGGATAGAGATCCATCATTGCCCTTTGCCAAATCCTGCTGACGAAGCAATGCCTTCATTTTAATCTTCCATAAACTAAAATTATTCTGACCATCAAAATTTTCTATCTTTAATTTTGCTACAACCATCCCGAAACCAATAGCTCTAATACCAGTTTTTTATGAACCAATGCCACAAGTAAAATAATAGTGCAACAAAATAGAAAAATAGAACACACAAGATTTACTTGGTTCGGCTCAACAAGAAAACATATATCCACGAATGAAATATAGTGGTAAAATTTCACTATTAAAGGTTGGAGATTGCAAAAAATTCTCGAAATAAAGGCTACAAGAGAACGTCTATCTGCTATATCACTATTACAAGATTAATAGTGCCAAAATCTTCTTTAACCAATATTGGCTTTCTCGAAGAAGACCCACAAACAAATAAAGCATACCCAATTTATCACACACACCAAATTGTCGTCCTTGAGCTCTTCAATAAAGTTGACTGCCTACTGCCAATATCCAAAAGGAAATGATGTGTCCACCAAAACTTTTACCAAATTTTTGAATCTCAAATGATGTGTCTCATTGATAGCCATTNTTTCGAAACCAATAGCTCTAATACCAGTTTTTTATGAACCAATGCCACAAGTAAAATAATAGTGCAACAAAATAGAAAAATAGAACACACAAGATTTACTTGGTTCGGCTCAACAAGAAAACATATATCCACGAATGAAATATAGTGGTAAAATTTCACTATTAAAGGTTGGAGATTGCAAAAAATTCTCGAAATAAAGGCTACAAGAGAACGTCTATCTGCTATATCACTATTACAAGATTAATAGTGCCAAAATCTTCTTTAACCAATATTGGCTTTCTCGAAGAAGACCCACAAACAAATAAAGCATACCCAATTTATCACACACACCAAATTGTCGTCCTTGAGCTCTTCAATAAAGTTGACTGCCTACTGCCAATATCCAAAAGGAAATGATGTGTCCACCAAAACTTTTACCAAATTTTTGAATCTCAAATGATGTGTCTCATTGATAGCCATTGGATGGTTAGTGATAGTTTGTGGAATCTACTGATCCTATGATTTATACTGATTTGAGATTCAAAAGTTGGTAAATAATTTGGTAGATGTAGCATTGTTGATATCCAAAAGGCTTTTATATGTAAAGAATATTTCATATAGTCAAAGTCTTAATAAATAAGGANCTTGGTTCGGCCCAACAAGAAAGCTTATATCCACAAATGAAATACAGTGGTAAGATTTCACTATTAAAGGTTGGAGATTGCAAAAAATTCTCGAAATAAAGGCTACGAC